CTGAGTGAAAATATTTGTTAAACACCATGCCACTCTTGTCATGTGTTGGACATGATTTTATTACTTTGATAGGTTCTTTCGAGCGCCACTTAAGCGACAACTGCTTAAGAAGACGACCTAGGTCAAGAGAAGAAAATAATAAGCCTAATTTGAATTTCTTTGCCGGCCTCTGCGCTTGAAGATTTCGCCCGCAAATCAACAGCCACGTGTAAAGTCATATGCTGCACTGAGGAAACCTGCCGAATCAAACTAATTCAAACGTCACTATTCTGTCGCGCATGAAAGACTCCTTGCTTACCCCTCTCCCCCCGCCCAACTCTTCTCTTGACTTGTACAGTCTCATTAAATTCATTTAATTGTTTCTTTCAAGGAGGAGACGTAGGGACTGCCGAGAAGAGAAGTAAGAACTGCACTAATCCTCCAGGTGAAGTGTGTTTCATGTCATTTTTGATTCGAGAACCAATCTCGTAATATACCCTCTCCTCGTTCAACAATTTCAAAAAATTCGATCCTGGCAGCTCGCAGGATGTATTTTGTACATGGTTTAGCTAACCTATGAGTTTCTCATGACTCTCAGCGTAACTCCACTAGTAGATCATTCAACCATGCAATACGTGAATTTGTTCATATTAGCGTCCAGATAAACGTTGGTTTGCCCAACCCGGTTCCAGGTTCCTACGAGGGCAAGATGTTCATGCGTAATCGATCTTCGTCGATGTAAAGCGAGATGTGAAGTCACTAAAAAATTCGAAATTTTTATTCGACCTTCTGTAGATAAGTTCGGGTCTAATAATGCAAGCCGTTCTTTTCCCGTTTGGTGACCAAATCTGCTTCATAGTCCCATGGGTTCCTAAAGGAGATGCGGGGAAACTGAAGATGAGAATAGCGAGCCTCCCCTACTAGGTTTACCTTTGATGTCGCTAGCATCATATTACTGCTTAGGGGTGGTACAAAGGTCGAAAATGTTGCTTGATTACATAGAAATGTGCGTAAGAATACTCAATTAGAAAGAAAAGGGCTTCAAAGTCAAAGTTCAAAAATTGACGATTGCAACAGATTGATATGGAAATATTTTGACGGACCTTACGCTAAAAACCATCAAGGTGATTTTCCTTCTTTTTGCCCCATTCTTGCGCAAAATACACTTTAGCAGACCTCGCAAACGAAGAGTAAACGAACAGAATACTGAACTAAAAACAACGGGCTTTAAAGTCTTAAAATCAACGATTACAACAGTCCCAACGCTAGATATCACGACCTCGCAAGTAAAATTGCCTACTTTTTACACAACAAATCTCCGAGTAAGCACGAGTGAGAGCTTCAATAGTGTCTACCTTCATAGATAACGCGCTTTCGCACGAAGAACTTGCCCCCTGAGGGACCTGATACTGGATTGGCCAGTATTAGCAAAGTTTCGTGTTTGAATTAAGTTTTGAATCCAAATGGGAGACTTAGATTCGTATTTCACCTTAATTAGTGAAAAATTCCTACTGATCCCTTATTCGAAGGGGCAGCTTAGGAATTTATTACTCTACTTCTTTCATCCCCACCAGGAATAGCCAATGGGAAGGTTAGAATAATAAGAAAGACACATGCAATATACAGTTGTAATCCTGGCTATAAGACCATTGGGATTCTCTTGATCAGATGTATTAATAGCAAGTGGACTGGAAATCCTCCCACATGTCAGCGAGGTGAGACATGAGAAATATGTTTCATGCTTTCAATTGAAACGTAAGGGCGATTTAGCCCGCTAAACTCGGACATACTCTTACGTCTATTTTCCTTAAAAACTAGTGATAGTGAGGGAATAAAATCCACTTTCATAATTTCCCCAAACCTACCAATCTAATGGTGCAGTAAGCTTTAATGTGACTTCTAAACAGCAAGAAACTTCTGAGTTTTCAAAATTGTTAAAAATAAAAAAAGAACATTTAGCGGAAAAGTAATTTTTTCCCCGCCGTGAGGTTGATTTTGATATCAAAGTGCGCTGATAAGCTAAATTCTTTAGCTGATATTCAATCTATTATTATGGTACCATAATTTTCATGGTGATTAAATTCCACCGGACAAAGGATACATTAGACAGGATTTATCACCTCATAATAGTTCGCCGAATGTGTACGTCGTGTAGCGCCCCATCCAACGAGAACACCGGGTATACAAATAATAACTAGCGCAATTTTTCCCCCCCTTACTACAGACTCGACACCTCTGTCGTGTAAAACACCCAGAAGAATCCGAAATGGAGATTTTGAGCCACATAAAGACGACTACCTGGTTGGTACCACTGTCAAGTATTCCTGTGACGACAACTACCGGCTCAGAGGGAGTGCCAAAGTGACTTGTACCAACGAAAAAAGCTGGTCACCCAAAAAACTTCCAAGATGTATAAAAAGTAAGGAGATTTCGTTATTGTTTACCGCCATATCAAACTTGACTGTGTAGCATAGTTAGGAGTAATGGTGGCCTAACGGATAGCGGGCTGAGAGACCATATTGAAGACCACATTGGGGGCATTGTCAGTATGTGCAAATCACTTTGCTGTCATATTTACTTCATCAAAGAGTAAGACGCACTGTCTTTAACGTTAGCATACTGTACTTCAGACAAGGGGTACGGGTTCGAATCCTGAGCGAAACACTGTGTCTTGTCCTTAAGTAGTTGTATCTCTTTTCACCCAAGAGTATGAATTGCTACCTGCATATTTTTTATATGGCGCTGCTGCCCGTAAATTTGAGCATAGTCTAACGCGAAAAAGGTCCAAAATAATCGATCGAAATACCTTTTAACTTGTTTTAGATGGCCGCGCGTCTGGAGTTACTAAAAAAATATAGAAATATCCAATGTTTCCAACATGGGGGATTCGGCGAACCTTTTGTCCTTTCTCCGCCTTCCTCACGAAATAAGTAAGGTATTGCAAATTCATTCCTTTGTGACCAAATGCCTTGAGCTTAAAAGAAAGTGGGAAGGATTGTCTGGGAATAAACCAGCAATGACGAACCAGTATGTTGAGTACAGTTGTTAACTAAAAATGATGTACTTAACCTTTTATACTCTAACATCAGTATGCATATTCTCCGTACTGTTCTCTTTACATTTCCTAAGGTGCTGACGAAGAGAATTTATTTAACAATCAGGAGCTTCTTTAGTTGGTGGTAATTTATTTTATTCTCACGGCCTTAATGGGTGACTCAGTGGTGATATTGTGAGGAGAAAGTAGATGGTAGCCACTCTTAGAGGTTAAAGGGTTAAATGACCGCCTTGCTCTCTTTTTTAGGAGCAAAGTGTAAGGATCCAGGTACTCCCAAACATGGTCGCCGGGTCGGAAGTTTGTTCCTAGAGGGAACTCAAGTCCGGTTTTCCTGTGATGACGGATATGAGCTCGTTGGTCTTCAGTCACTTCAATGCGTTCCGTTCTGCAGATCGTGCAAGACAGTAAGATGGAACGGAACAACTCCAGCATGCGAAAAATTTGGTGAGTGTTTTTCTCGAAAGAAGTATAAATACTCATTGTTTAAAGAGTTGTTTGCGCAATAGCGTAAGCTCATTTTACTTACCGGAGAATCGTACTTTGGATGTTTACGGGTATCCGATGCTTGTAAGAAGCTAAAGCTACAAGAAAATCGCACGTTATCATTGAAGAAACATGGTCCTCGTTTTCGCACTTTAAACTTTAAAGTATAGCCAGAGGAAGGTTAACAAAGAAGTGTTTCGGGAACTCGTACATTCAATCACTGATTCATTTATCCATGAAGATATGAGGGAAAATCATATTTTTGATAAGTATCAAAAAGAATGGCAAACGTGTCCTTAACGACGGATCTGTTGTTCATAGATCCCTTAAGAGGTTTGAAGAGGGTCGCAGACAGTCTCCGAGAACATTTCATCGACAAACTGAGCTGGACGACAACCGACAGTTTGGCACGCGCAGGTTTGTCCTCGGGAGCCGGAGGCCTCGACTTGGTGTTCGTGTTCGACAGCTCAGCAACTGTCGGTAGTGCGAACTTTAAAAAAGGAGTTGAATTCGCCAAGACAATCATCGACGAGTTTGGGATATCGGCATCTCCCATGGGAACGAGAGTTGCTGTTGTTACATTTAGCTCGACAGCTAAAGTAGTTTTTAATCTGCAAACGAACGCAATGGCTGACAAAGCAGAAGCTATAAGGACTCTCGGTAGGTCAAACCGCTAGTAATGAGAGACGTTAGGGCAACATAATTTCGTTAATGAGACATATCCCTTTATATCCTTTACACTGTTCTGGTTAATTCGTTTCTTTTTCCGGGTTTGTCTACTATCAGTTCCTTCCTTTTAAAATAATTTTACAATCAAACTGAACATATAGTTGAAATGACAGATTTAAAGAGAACCCGGTCGTTTCGCCACGAGGAGCTTTTACCACATATCATCCCGCTACTATGATGTTATCGCGCCATTAACTAAACCAGGAAATCGCTCCAAAGGTCACAACTGGCCCTTCTCACCTCCTTCCCGCTCACAGAACTCTTCGGTTCTGAGAACGGAAAGTACTGATTCAGATCGATGTAGCGGAATTAAGAGAATAGGGTCAAACAGCATTATCCAATTATCCATAGAATGCGCGAAAGATGAGGGGAGACTTTAAGTGTCGATTACTTCCGGCGATGGCGCAAACTCGTGTCTCGTTAATTTAGAAACGAAAACATACGCGACTGGGTAGTCATGACGCACGCTGCTCACATGCAAAAATAACTTTTTGCTGATCATTTTCACGGGAAAGAACCTTTTCTCCCAGTTCGCCATCTCTTGATAAGTGAAAAGCAGCCTTGATCTCCTGTCATCTCTCTTCATTCTTTCCTTCTCAGACAACTTAGACTTCATTGCCGGTGGCACCGCTACACGCCTTGCATTGAATAAGACCATTGAGGAAATCGTTCCTGAGGCCCGAAAAGACAGCAAGAGGGCTTTGTTCCTCATAACTGATGGCAGGTCCAACATCGGTGGTGATCCAAGCGCAGATGCTTCGATACTGCGTGACTTCCAGAAGTTTGAAATCTACGCTATTGGTGTAACAGACAGCGTGAATGAAAAGGAACTGCGCAGTATTGCTTCTGAACCCTTCAGAACGCATGTGTTCCTTCTTAAGGACTTTGATGATTTAGCCAAGCTTAAACAGCTGATCACGGCCAAAGGAAATGGTGAGTACATTTTCCTTGACTTTTATTATTATATCTCCCATCGTATACTTACTTTGTTAACTTAAAAGGGCGTTGGCAGGATCTTCTTGTCCTAAATCAGCTTCTAACCTTTCTTTCGGGGCACTTCAGGATCTCTTAAAGCTATACTCTTTGGCTAGGTTTGCTGTATGCGTCTATGATGTATTTCATGCGAATAAAATCCGAGACAAATTTGTCCGTCAGAAACCTTTTATCGTATTTCCTTTCACACATAACACGGTAACACTTTCAACACACCAATCACCAATTTTTGTGTGAGCAGATTACAGTGAATGTGGCATCGCAGGAGATACTCAGCTGAGAAATGACGATGATGAAAATTTCGGCTCTGTCAGTGGAGAGGAGGCGAAGCCAGGAGCCTGGCCCTGGCAAGCAGCTATCTACGTGAAGGGAAATTTCCGGTGTGGTGGTGCACTTATCAAAGGGAACTGGGTTATAACTGTGGCGCACTGCTTTTTCTACGATGGGGCTGTGAAACCGAAAGATGTTATCGTAAGGATGGGTAAGTCAATCAGAGATATTAGATACAGGTATTTTAAAAACAAGCGTGATGTGGCTATGATTACAAAACGATAAAATTGTAAAAAAAAAGAAGAAAAAAAAAAAAGATGTTAAGCTGAAGATGTCACATCACATTAGTGTACCATGCCTGCATCTCTTTAAAAGTATCTCTCCAATCCAATCTGATATCCAATATCTGATACAAAATTCTCCAAACTAACGTCATAAGAATTCTGTAGCAGACAGTGAGGAGAATTACTAATGAGACCTTTGGGGCAAAAGGACAATAATAAGCCACGATAACCCCTGCGTTCAAAAACTGATGTGTACTCTAACAGATTGTAGCCTTTGTAATTTTTCTGCGATTGGCAAGCGCGTCCCAGACAAACAAATGTTATTGCGCATGTTGTTTTGCTTGAAAAGTTGCCTCTAAACAATATCACTGGTAAAAAAAAACAAAACAATTAAAAGCTGATTATAAAGTCTAACAACTCTTTACTTTAATTTGAAAGAATTTCTTAGCGGCGAACTGCTGATGTTTTTATACGACGTAACATTTCTTAACTTCCTATTTCCTTGTGTAAACAAATCGAAGACGATCTTGCCAGAATTAATAACGACTTTCGATTTTAACCTGTTAGGAGAACACAATCGTTTCAAAGAAGAAGGTGCTGAGCAGAATATCGGAGCAAAGAAGGTTATCCTACATCCAAATGCGACCCGGGGGAACTTAAATATAGGAAATGACTTGGCTTTGATTCGCCTAAAGCACGCCGTGAAATTCTCACCGTTGGTGAGAACTGTATGTCTCCCAGAACCCACGGATGTATTCTACGTCAGACCACGAAAAACGTGTGTAGTAGCCGGTTGGGGATCTTCTCAAAAGGTTAGTACGCGTTTTCCGTCTCTAAATGCTCTCCTCATGTGCGTTCTCATGTTCTTCTCTCTCCTCATTGCGCCTGGAGAATTTCAGCCCCAGCTAATGTCGGATTTTCGGTATCTTAAGTCAACACAAACTGATCTAGAATTGCTCAAGAAATTTGAGACGTAGAGATATCCCCGCAAAGAGGCGAATTATCCCTCGTTTCCATTTAAAAGAAACTTTTCTGTTTGACGTTCAGTCGTAACAGGACTTCTCCTGTTATAGGCACTCTTTAGAATATCATTACAAAGGCGAAAATTGTGCGCGAGAGCGTAGAAAAGGGAAATTACAATGCAATTACTTCCATGAAATTCTCATTATGGAGAGGCTCTGTGCAAACAGAATGTCTTACTCAAGAGCCCATCACTATGAACGTAGCAATGGCTTTGATTATTCTCTCAAGGAAAAAAAAGAAAAATCAAAACTTATTGTACCTAATCACTGATGCATGCTCTTCTTGCAGGTTTCGTCGGATGATTTAGCAGGCCCACCGAATGAAGTCCTGCAACAAATTCAAATGAAATTCGTATCCCAGCGCGATTGCCGCGAAAATGCCACCAATGCCGCGGCAATAACAGAAAACGTTGTTTGTGCTGGTGACGCCACAGGAAAGAAAGATGCCTGTAAAGGGGACAGCGGTTCACCCCTTGTGGTAAGCGAAAGAGGACCTTGGAGGATATCATAGATGCGTCACTTGCAAACCTTAAGAAGTATACAGAAATAGCATCTTGCATCTTCTTAAAGACCTTCTCGTTGACAACTAAATGCTACATGGCGAGTTTTTGTTCTTCGTTTTAGGCGTATGACCGTTTCTTAGTCGTTGGGTCCGACTAAGAGCCACTTTAGCCCAAGTCGCTATTACTTATATAACTTATTACTTATATTATCTGTTTGGAAGGAAACGAGGAAACAAAAACTAAAAACAGAGACAACAAGATAGTCTGAACAATAACACAAGCCTGCGAGCGGGCCTAAAGCCAAAATCTTCATTTTACCCCGCAAAATGCGTCTCAATGCCCGACGAAGGGATAACTGTACTTCATTAGAAGCAAATATTTCTTTTTTCACTGATGTCCTTTTTATCTTTAGTGATTTTCGTAGTCGCTTCATACAAACTTTTTTCCTTTCACAGATCAGACGTTCCATCGATGACAGCTGGGCGGTGATTGGTCTATCGAGCTGGGGAGATGGGTGTGCCACTAAAGGAAAATACGGTGTGTACACGCGACTGAAAAGTCATTTGCGCTGGATAAAGCGGAAGACGAACAGAAAAAGTAGTAAGAAGAACAAAGATTAAAGAGAAGCGTTCGATCAAACTTAACGGAGAGTGGTAGGGAAGGGAAGATTCCCTGTTTTCATAACGTATATGGACAAGACTTAGATCTTTTAAGATCTGATTAAAATTGTAGTCTTTCTTTTAGTGATTTCCCTTATTTACCGCGGGGGGTGGGAGGGTAAGGGGCATCGATCACTATTAAGTCCTCCACTCCCTCCCCCCAAAGCGATAAACAAGGAGATGATTAACATAAATAAGGTTCCATGAACGAGAGTAGTTACCTCTTACGATAAACTCGTCAATGTTAATTTTCACCGGCAAAACACTGTTAACTACAATACTTTTTGCTGGAACTGTCACTGTATGGTTTAGTTTGCGGATAAATAAAGTGCACTGACGTACAATGAGGCTTATTTCTTGGTTGGTCTGAAAATAAGTAATGGCTTTGTCACATGATAAACAACATAGCACCTTTGAAAAGATAAATTAACGTATACCGTCGAGAATATTACCGATCAAGGCAGTTCGGAAAGCCGCAAAACTTGGAACAAAAAATTCAAATCGGCGCTCCTAATCCCCACAGTATCAACGAGCGCTTTTCATTCAACCAATTTATTCTTGTTTTTCTCGTTACAATAATCCCACCAAAAGCGTAACCGTTGCTCCGTTTTCTGCATACAAACCCACACACACAAACCAGAATTGTCACAATTCCTTCATTCGCTCTGACGAAGGGCTATAACTCGAAACGTCGGCTTAGAAACTCCACACGGTGGCCAATTTACATTATCAACTCAGTTGATAATGAAAAATTACTAAGAAATATTTCCTCATGTAACAGTGATTATACCTTAGTCAAAAAGGTACCTACCAAAGGTATTCGATCATTTGTAGAATATATAGAGAACACCTCTTCGCGAAAACGCTCTCTACATTTATGACCTAAGAAAATAAAAATTAATAGTCGCTTCGAAGAATCTCACATGATATGGAAAGAAGGTGGAAACAACGCAGTACAAATAAGATATTCTTTTATTTCCATATGTTATTTCTAATGACATTTGACTGCAAGAATGTCACTTAGGGCTAACAGTCTGTGGATAATTGTTCCACCTCGATCTATCACTGTGTTTTCAATTGATTTACTTTATTTCTATTACAATGTTGTCACCACGGTCTCATAATCCTTTTCGAGGCTTTGTTCTTGTTGACTTTGAGCTGATCCATCCTGTGCTCATGTTCAGAGACATCATTTGAACCTGTTGATTTCCCTCTTCTCCATCTCGATTGATGAGTGGACTGAAGAACCACAGGAACAATGGTTTCTTTCCTACCTTCAAAGACTTCGGGAAGAAAAACAACCATAAAAATCTAAGAGTGCTTATAAAGGGGCAGTACTTAAGTTACTTAATGCACGAAACTTTTTCTGGGGCAACCCTGAGACAGCCCAGAAGCAAACAGTGCCATTTGTCTGGTAATTAAATGATTGGTGTTGTAAGTGTTTCTGTCTCCAAAAATGGTCATGGAGGTTTATTAATTAATACAAATACATCAGATCGTTTCCCTTACTCCTTTATCGAATAACCACTTTCAGCTGTGAGCCATGTTTGATACGTGTGTAAGAGCTCAGTTATTGATCACAATCCTCTACATCCCAACATCAGAATGCATATTCTCCACACTGTTTTCTGTACATTTACTATGGTACATGAAAGGAGATTATGCCTAACAATCAAGCGCTCATTTTTTTGTTGATCATTTCTCATTTTCTCATGACCTTAAGTTTTATTCAGCATTCATGATATTATAGTCACACCTAGGAACTGAGTGTGAAGCAGGCTACGCCACTGTTTCTGTATCTCGTTGAACAATCGCTTAAAATGACAGTCTTCATTCCCTTTCAGAGCGTCACAACACCAAAACCACAGTTATCACAGTTACCAATCCGACAAAAGAAGGAAAATGTCACAATAATTAAAAAAGAGATCAAAGTAAAAAAAAGCAAAGTGCCCGTAGCGAGGGAGACGTGCGTGAGAATGTTGCGATTGGTTATAGTTCGGCTTATCAATTAGATTCCATGATGCCATGCGTCTGTTCAGTTTCAACCCTTTAACCCCTAACAGTGACAAGCATCTAATTTCTCCTTACAAGATCACCTCTGATTCACATATTCAGGTCATGGGAAAAAAGGAAATAATCATCAAGTAAAGGAGGTCACAATTGTCAAACAAAGTCTCCTTGTCAGCTCATCAGGAAATGTATAGAGAACAGTGAGGAGAAAATGCAAACTGATGTCTAGGTCTAAAGGATTAAATCACAGATGAATTCAAAATGTGATAAGAACAATAAAGTGGCACACGGGGAGCAGCAGATATGTCGCTGCGTCGCGCATGCGTCACTGCAAAATGCGTTTTTTCGATGACGTCAACTATGCGTCAATCTTCCGAGAGATCATAGATAGGAACCAATCAAATCGCCTGTATAATTCAGCTTATCATGTAAATCTGATTGGATTAGAAGTTAGGGGCCAATCAGATTAAATTAGAGAAAACCCATTGTAGTCCCGGATTAATTTCAACACTTAATTAAGAATTGCTACAATGTATTTGTACTTCCTTATCATGATCGCATATCTCACCTCATAAGCTTCCAATACTACCGTAATCGTAAGCTGGGCTGGCTGGACATTTTATCCAAGTCTCAAACCCTTTAGACCTTTCAAAATATTAAACATCAAGTCAGTTTATGT